GGGGGGGGGATGTGCAGCCAACCCAAGCACACTAATGCCAAGTGGATGTGCCCATGCACAGAGCCAGCAGAAAGCTGACAACCTGCCTCATCACCCAGCGGGGAGAGCAGGGTTAAGGGGGAAGAGGCCACACTCCTGTCGAAGGGAAAGGAAACATCCCTGAACTCCGGCCCCCAGAGACCCCTTCCTCAGTGCCAAGCATGCAGCCAACAACTCCCCCACTTCCCAACCCCCTGAGGATCTGTTTCTTTCTCAAGAGAAACCCCTGAAATGAGGCCAGGGCTGGCCTCAGAGTAACAAGACCCTCTTGTTCCGAGAGTCACCCACCCGGCTTGGCCTTGCCCTCCTTGCACATCATTTGCTGTGGGCCACGTCTTCCAATGACTTGCCAGGGCTCTGCCCTCTAGAACGTGTGCCCTTCTGGCCTCCTGGCTTGGGAACCATTTTGCCCAGAACTGACCGTTCCGGTCCCTTCTCTCTGCTCTGACCTTGATCGCCAGCCTGATCCCTCCAGCTGTACTCCAGAGTTCCCAGACCTGCCACGTGACCTGGCCTCGCGAGCCTTGGGAGCCAGCCTGGGATCTGACGACCTAAAGCTCTGGACGGGGGAGTGCTCTGACCCTCCTGAGTCATTTCGTAGTCCGAGTTACACGGTAGCAACTTCCCAACTCCTCCGCCTCTCATTTCCATACTGTCTCGCACGGCACCTGAAACCACCTGGTCTGTGCAGAGCCAGGAGGCTCTACCATCACCTGGCTTTCTGGAGGGAAGATGCAGGCTCACCTGCCTCGGTGCAGCCAGGACTCCTGTCCTCCTAGGAAGTAATCAGACCACCAAAGGCGACATTCCCCGCCCCACGGCTCTGCCCAGTGCAGCTCCTCCCTAAGGCCTAAGGATTCCAGGGAAAGCTGCTGGGGTCAAGGAGCCCTGATGGTGTGGTGGGTTACAGACGGGCTGGGCTGCTCACCAAAGTCAGCAGCTCCGACTCACCAGCTGCTGGAGAAAGCTGAGGCATCCTATTCCTGGAGACAGTTCTAGTCTTAGAAACCCACGGGGAAGTTCAACGCGGTCCTATGGGGTCACGCGGAGTCAGAACTAACTCCACGGCAGCAAGTTTTGCTGTTGCTTTAGGCCCCGCGCTCTCCAGACGCCCTAGACTTTTCAGTTGACCGTGACTCGGCCTCTCAATGAAACAGTGAGGATGGGGCAGAGAACTTGGGACGGCTGCCCCCGCCGCTGACACCCCGCCCTCACCCCCAGCCCCCTGCCCGTCTTCTCCATTACCTCTTTGTCTGTGAGACAATCCACGTCTATCATTTTGGTCTGTATTGGAACCAAAGTTAGAGGTTCAAAGGTCAGGCTTCCCCGGTTATTGAAGTTATACTGTGGGGGGAAAAAACAGAAACATTTCCTCTTTACCTTGGTGGACCGCCCGCCACCAGGCGTGTCCACCAGAGCTGGGTGTACCTGTGAGCCAAAAATCAGTTAGCAGGTCACCGTGTTTATAGGCGCACGGAAGAGGCATGGTGAGCACAGCTGCTGCTGCCTCCAGGGAGCGGCTCTGCTACACAACCACACGTCTGGGCCACAGCACAAGCCACCTGAGAGAACCAACAGCTCCAGGCTGTGTGCCCACAGGCTAACGTCTATGGCGACGGAGCAGAAGCAGGGCAGGGCCTGGGTTTAGGGTTGGGTCATCATTGTTTTCATTTCTCAAGACTGTGAAATTTGATTATTATTTCTCATGATTCTGGGTATAAATCCCCAAAATATTTTTCAACAACCACGTGGTCTGTCTTGTCTCAGCAGACACCGGGTAACGTGTGTGTGTGTGTGTGTGTGTGTGTGTGTGTGTGTGTGTGTGTGTGTGTGTGTGGAATCA